GTGAGAGTTAGGCCCCATGTACGCAGGACACTTCTGAACGATGGAAACTGACTGCTGGAAAACGTAGGTTAAAAAAAGTCTGTTTAGCCAAATTTGTGTTTAAAAACATTTTTTTAAAGATAAGCACAGGGGAACCTCCCACATGCCCATAATGCACTGGTAAATTATTAACTATTTCAGACTGTTTCAGAGAAATACAGAGAGTAGAAGCAGAGAGAGCAGTATGTATTGAGATTAGCTCAGGTGTGAGTTGTTCATTAACATTTCTTTTGTTTCCAAGGGTGGGAAAGGTGTCTGGTGGAGTGAATAATTAAGGTCACCTGGCAGGGGGTCTTCATGAGGAATTTGAGGTTTGAATGGTCATTAACATATCTTTTATTTCCAAGGGTGGGAGAGATCTGAGGTGGGAATTGTCCATTACAATATGTGACAAGCTTGGTAGGAACATCCCACGTTCAGTGTTTTGTCCATTTGAGTACCTTGAAAATGAATTGCATGCATTTTTCATGATGAAAAAAGGATCTGCACAGCATCTGGAAATGTAACAGTTAGAAAACGTTTCTAAACGCAAACACTTATAAATGCGGTTAGCCGTGTTTACACACGTTTTGTGTTTGAAATGCTGATAAAATCTACTGTTTGAACGCAAGTTTGCTGCGTTCAAAAAAACAACTGTAAACTCAACTGCCTGTAGACGCCTGTAAACGAAGATGTGTACATGGACACATAGGAAAACATTAGGGTGAGTTCAGGGGCTGCTGAAAAAAACACTGAACAGCTCCTAAACGTGAGTTTATCTGCTGCAGTGTACATGAGCCCTTAAGGTTAGCTCTCTGCCTCAGAAGGTGCCCCTTTCACTTCAGTATTATGTGCGGCTACAGAGTCATTTGACAGATCCTGAAAAATCAGTGTTTCCACAGAACTTTTTGCTTTAGAAATCTACCTTTCTCAGCTCCAGTAATGCTGTCCATGCATGTTTGGATAAATTATTGATTTCTTTAGTGATCTCTACCAATAGGAGTAAAGGATCTATAGCCATCAACCCATATGCCACACACAAGTGTAAGTGGATTTTGATCCATAGTTAAGATATGGTTGTAACTTCCAATCATAATTGCATCTCTCGGTTTCCACCATAAAATCTGATTAAATAAAATACAGACAGATTATGAACAAAGTATCCTCGATACTGCCAGCTGATGCAACATGATTGATATATTCCACCATAAAAGCAGCTTTGTATTACTTGGTTCTATGAAATTCATCCATTTAGGGGCTAGTGGACCTCTGTTATTTACCTCCTGGTGTATAGCTCTAAGGAAGATAATACTCATCAGAAATATAGTATACTTTGTTGTGCATAATAGTAAATATTTTATTTATGCATTTTTTCTTTTTCTTTTAAAGTTTAACTAAAGCTAAAGCTTGTTTTTTTTTTATTTTGAATTGAGTATGGGAGGGTTGAAACCTCTATGGTTTTTTTTTTTGTCTTATCTGTCTGATTGTCCTTTCACGTCCTGTACTGTAAACTCAACAGGAAGTGGAAGGATATCTTTTTAATGTGAGTGAAAACCCTACTTAGACAATCGTCACAAGAAACATTGTACGATTCCCCCTTTAGTATTTTTCTAGTTTTGAGCTATTTGTCATTTTAATTTCCGGTGACACTGGTTACCAGGACAGTTAGAGACTGACTCTCCCTAAAGCTGGGGGTGTCAAACTGGTAGCCCTCCAGCTGTTGCGAAAACTACAAGTCCCATCTCTGCCTTTGGGAGTCATGCTTGTAACTCTCAGCCTTGCAATGCCTCATAGGACTTGTACTTTGGCAACAGTTGGATGGCCACCAGTTTGACACCCCTGTCCTAAAGGAACAGCAATACAACCCTGACAGTTGTTCTAAGCAGTCACCGCTCAATTTGAGTTTTATTTTAACTCTATTTCAGTTCTTATTTTGTAAACTATTAAGGAAAATTGTATTTTTATGGTATGAGATGCAAAAAATAAGTAGGTTAATGTTTTAACTTTTGAAATCTTTACTTTTTTCTACAGAGGTTATCAAATGGCTCTATAGACTCTAATGATGAAGCCAGTCAGATGGTTGAACTTCAAGAACTACTTGAGAAGCAGAATTATGAAATGACTCAAATGAAGGAACGATTATCATCCTTGTCAGCACGAGTTGGAGAAGTTGAGCAGGAAGCAGAGTCGGCTCGAAAAGAACTAACAAAAACAGAAGAAATGAATACAAAATATCAGAGAGACATTAGGGAGGTAGTGCTATTTACTGTTGTCTTGTGTGGCATCATGAGTCATGTATTAATACATAAAAAAAATATTTTCTCGCTATTCTGTCTCTGAGTTGCATTTGCTGTAACATTAAAGTATTTTTTTTGTTACTGAAGATTACTAATATCCATAGTCTTATCTTTTACTGAACATGCCTTAACCCCTTCATGCCTAAGGGTAAAATAAATCTTAAAGCCTAAGTAAAATTTTACAACGTTGACATGTGTTAGTAAAACCATACATATCATCACAACTACTTTGTACATCCAGGTGAATTATACCATTTTTTCAGGACAAATTGGGCTTTCATTTGGTGGTAAATGGTAAAGGATATCTCCTGATTTTTATTTTTATTATCAAAGAAAAACTAGCCCAAAATAGTAAAAAAATATATATTTTTTTAAATTTAGCTGTGTGATTTTTGTTACTACCATAACCTACCACCAAAGAACAACACTAAATAAATTTTCCAGCTCTTGATATGGTATCGCAGCGATACCATATGTGTGTATGTTATTTGTTGTTTGTACCTGTACTACAGGTAAGAAACAATAGTGCGCATTTTGTCTTTTTTATTTATTTTTTTATCTAAAACATACTGACACTAACTGACACTGATATCAATGAAAAAAAAATCCTGACTTTTGATCCTGACCTTGACCCAAACACTAACTCTGGCACTGAACTAGATCAAACCTTGCTTGATCTAGGTATTGTTTTTTTATTTTGTTTTTTAATATATATTTATTTATCTCTTTTTTTTTTTGTTACAGACAGTTGTTTTTTTTCTCTCTGCAAGGAGATAGAGAGATACAATGTATCTCTTTCCTCCATTCAGAGAGAAAAAAAACAAAGGGGGTGGGCTGCACAGTGACTGATCACTGTGATAGCCAATCAGAGGCTATCACAGAGATCATGTGACCTGGAATTGGGAGTCCCAGGTCCCGATCATGAGAATGGGACCCGAAGATCTCTGACACCCCGGTCTTTGTGCTGGGAGCACGGTGTTCGGCTGGAGGTACGAAAATATGCGGCCCCACCGAAAAAATCCCAGTTCTGCGAGGCCGCATATTTTTGTGATGTCGGCATCAAGGGGTTAAAGAGACTCAACCTGTAATTTTATCTGTTCACATAGTGCAAGCTTGCTTAGAATGCTCATATTGAGAAATAACCTCAGAATGAACAAACTCCCTATAATATGAGCCCACAGGAGCTTAGGTGTGATTAGCTGCCGTCTGCCTGTCTGTCTTTTCACTATAGACTGCAGTGCCTTACTTTAAATTGTTTTTCTACTGATTAGATTCCAGTGTATCATCTGCAGCAAAGGGAATGACAACACGTTACTTGATTCAGTCGTTAAATTATAGAGCTTTGTGCATCGTCTGACTCAAATTAGGACAATGCCTTCTACTAAGACCTATGCCATATCAAAACATGACCTAGCAATGCAAAGTGATTGAGGAATCTAAACTTTTATACATACCTGTATGCTGCAGTATTTGCCAAAGACAACAGATACTTAGAAAATGATTGTGTAAACATGGAAAATTGAGTAAATAGTGGAGAAAGAATGTTAATAAACAATAAGAAAGATATTACATTCAGGGGCGTCCCTAGGGTTGGTGTCACCTGGTGCTGGAACACTTGGTGACACCCCCTCCGACGATCCTCGCAGGATGGATCAGATCTGTGGATTGAGTATAATGGATTGGAGTCCGATCCATTATCTTCCCCGATCCGTTCTGTGGGGATCGTCGGCTTGCAACCTATATAGCATTAACTGATCTCTCCACGAGCTCCATGAAAAGGTAAATTTTAAAGCTAGCCCCCCTCTCTCTCTCCCCCCCCCCTCTCTCTCTCTTTTCTCTCTCTCTTTGCCCACCTCTCTCTTCTCCTCTCTCTCTCCCCCCCCTGCCCTCTTTCTCCCCCCTCTCTCTCTCTGCCCCCCTGCCTCCCCCTACTACATGAAACTGCAGTGCTGTCACCGGGGTCCGGGGATTACACTTACCTGCTGCATACTCTCTGCCCCCCCCCCTCCAGCTCTCTGACTCCAGCACCCATGGCAGGGATGTGGACCTCTGCTGAAACTCCGAGGAGGATAGGTGTCTGAAGTGCTTGCCTCACTGTCTGTCCCCTCAGTGCTTGCTTATTTCAGCAGTGGCACATACTGGGACAGACTGAGCCTCTCATGGGGTCCTGTAGTGACCCCAGGCCCTTGGGCAGTGCCCGAATGGTCAGTCTGCCCCTGGTGGAGCAGGTCCGGTGTCACCCCGTGGAAAAGGTGTCCCCAGTGCAGTGCGCACCCCCCGCACCTGCCTAGGGACGCCCCTGATTACATCTATAGGATTTAGCCAATGTCAGAGCATTTTATGGCTTGCTCTAAAGCAGGAGTGGTAGGAGCGCTTGCCATAAGTATGCACAGTAGACTTCATTCCTAATTTGACAGGGTGGCCAGTGATGATGTGAGCTCTGCAAATGAGTGCACTAGAGCAATTTAGCAATCTGTGTAAACCGCACATAAGTAACACGCAGGGTTGGGGAAAAATTGTAATAATGTGAATGTAAAAAAATCCTTAAAATTGGAAAATAATGCACAATAATGAAAATAGCTGATGTGATATGCTTATGATGACCCTACTATATGTGTGTATGTAATCACCTTATCCAATATCCTGTTGTGATTCAGTATTACAACATAGCTCTGTTTATTTCAGGCTATGGCTCAGAAAGAGGATATGGAAGAGCGTATCACCACTCTGGAGAAGAGATATCTCAGTGCACAAAGGGAAGCGACGTCCATTCATGATATGAATGACAAATTAGAAAATGAATTGGCGAACAAAGAAGCTATATTACGCCAGGTTCTGTACTTTTATCATTATACTTGATTTTATCCAGCTTTATCTGAAATATATAAATATTGCTCATACACTACCTTGATTGCTATAGTTGTATTTCATATTGGTTGAATTATTAAAACAAGTTGTGGTTGTACTATTTTACATGGGTCACCTAAAATAGGGCTCGGTTTTCTTGGCTGACAATAAATAGCGTATTTAGACTTTTAAAATATTGTGTAACTCAAAACTTGAAATGAACATGTAACACACCTCCTAGTCCTTTCACTTTCCTCTGTAAAACCAGCTTCTGATCTGTTAACGGTCCTTCTTAACAACCTGCATTTATTTATCCTTACAGGGTAGAATAATACCATACATATATGCCAGTGGCGTTTAAGTGCTGTTCACATATATGCGGATTGGATGCGGTTTGAACCACATCCAATCTGCAAGACATGGGAAATAACATTGCTTCCTATGGTGCCTGTTCACATTTGTCCAGTGCACTGGCAGTGCAGTTTTAGTGCGGATTTAAAAAGAGTCATGTTCGATTTCTGAGAAGTGTGGTCTGGTTCAGGTGCAGATTACAGGCTATTGACTTCTATTGGAACCATTCCTAAACCGCATATGTGTGAACAGGATAAGATCCTGAGAGCTAATCCTGTCCTGAACCTGATGTAAATCTGAGGTGAACCTGTGAACAACTACTGTGTCAATTAGCTGTGAAACCTGAGCTCAGGATCTTATCTTGTTCACACATATGCGATTTAGGAACTGTTCCCATAGAAGTCAATAGCCTGTATTCTGCACCTGAACCTGAAGCCACTGCTCAAAATCGAAGCATGGCTCTTTATAAAACCGCACTGAATCTGCACCGGCTCTGCAGTAGACATACTGTATGTGAACAGGCACCATAGGAAGCAATGGTATTTTACATGTCATGCAGATTGGATGCGGTTCAAACCGTATCCAATCTGCATATATGTGAACCGGAACTAAAGTTAAACTCTAGGCAGATATAAAAGACACAAGTTATTGTAGATCTGTATTCACGAATACATCAATAAATGCATTTATAAATGTAAGCATTGTAAGTACTTGAAATTAAAGCAGAATTAAACCAAAAATATAGCATACAGGTACCGCCAAGGGCGTATTTACCACAAGGCAAACAAGGCACTTGCCTAGGACTGAATTTTTCAGAGGGGCAGCACCTCTCCCAGAAGAAGGGATGAAAGTAGTGGAAGGCTCTCCTGGGTGAGGGGCAGGGGTGTTAGTGTTCAATGTCAGGCTTCCTGTGGGAGGGGAAGGGGGGTTGTGTTGGTTGGTGTCTGTGGGGGCAGCAGAAAGCCTAAATACACCACTGGGTACCGCTGCATACTTTATTCAACACTATTGTTAGATAAATGAAAGACAGGCTTCAGCTCAAATCCTCGCCCATTGATCAGGAGCCTCTGTTTAGTTGGGGTTTTGGGGTTGTATTCGATATGTGCAAAAAGAGATCACACAAATACTTATAAGTAAAACATTTATTACAAGTAATGACAGGTACAGATAAAGAAAATATAAGAAGAATACTTAACTAAAGATGCTGTTTCCGCCACGGGTCCCTCCATTATAAGACATGGCCAATGATCAGAACAGATGCATGCTTAACGCAAGCTCTGGGTTGAGACAAATATTTCCAGTCTAGCTGTGAGATATATACTGGACCTGTGTGTAGGCAATATCCAGCCCCCCCCCCCCCACTGCAAGTCATATGACCTTTTAAGGACTTGGTCACTTTGCAGTAACATTCCTTTGGTGTGAGTCCTCTAAAGTGACCATCCTTGCCTCCTTATTAGATATTGTGAGCCAACAATAATAAGGAAATCTAAAATGTACAATTTGCAATTGCAGAGGTAAAAAACAAAATATATTATAGCTTACCAATCACTAGATGTGGTGGCTGCATTACTTTTCTTCTTTTAGAATTTTCTCTCTCTCTGTTTTCACCTGGTGATCTGGCTAGTAACACACATCATGTACACTATGAATGAAGGAGCAACAGAGATACCTTTGGACAGCAGCATTGCCAGTGTAGGGGGATGGGAATGTTACAAGCACTAACAGATTTAAATACACACATTGAAGCCACACTCCAACTAACATTTTTTAGGCAGTTACATCAAACAGTTGCATCCCTTTTGGGATAAAGATTTTACATAAATGAATAAAAGCTGATCATTTTAAACACCCCTGTCAGTTGTCTCCACCATCTAACTGCTACGTCTGCAGGACAACTTGATCTGTTTAAAAACAGACTTACTGGCCTGGGTCACCAGGTGAAAATAAAAAGAAAGAAAGGTTAAAAAGATAACTAATCTAGCCAACATAACTAAAAATTGCTGCAATATAATACATGTTTGCTTCTGGGCAGGGGCGGACTGACAACTCATGGGGCCCCCGGGCAATAGGGGATCATAGGGCCTCTGTGTCCTTGCCCAAACTCAAAAAAGGCTATGAAAAAGGTACCAGGGGCATCTCATGGGGCCCCCTACTGACCCCGGGCCCTCGAGTTTCCAAATGGTCAGTCCGCCCCTGCTTCTGAGTTTAATACTGCTTTAACATGCCTTCAGCCCTCAACTTGTATCAGCCTCTTGAAATCCTATGTAGAGCTCAGATAGAAGGAAAAGCAGCACAAGAGGCCAATGGGCAGAAAGATGTGCTTACCATTCTGCTGCTTCTCCTTCTTTGTCCAATCACAGTGTTGGGACAATGACAAGATCAACTTGTATTATAGAACTGCAGTGGAGAAAAGTCAGGTGTCTTGCCTGCCAGACAAGGGTGTGCTGTCTGTTTGAGTTGTGTAAATCTCATGAATGGATAATAGAAATGCAAATAATTTTACAGGTAAAATAGCTTTCATGCATGCATTTAATTTGTGTATTTAAGTGTTTGCCTGGAGTCCAGCCTAAATCACTGCAGGATTTGGTGTTTTGTGTAAATGGGTGTTTTGGAAGAAGCAGGTAAAAGAAGCTTATATATACGATATGCCAATTTAATAGTCATGCTGAGTGATGCCATGCTGCTTTTGGAAGCAAACTCAGGAAAGCTTGAATCATTACAGAGACAAAAATAGTAATATAAAGTGTAAAAGAATTGCATCATTAGTCATCATTAGTAAAATAGTTGGGGATCAGATTGTTAAGGTTTATATATCCTCAGCAGTCAAACTGAGGCTGAATTTAAGGTCCCTTCCGGCCATAATAGCCCAGCCGCAGTTTTTTTTTTTTTTTATGATTGTTTCTGTCAAAGGTCCACAGTTTAGTTTGGGGCTAAAAGCAGCCAATTGGGGTGCATTTAGAGCAGTGTTTCTCAACCTTTTTTCAGGTAAGGCACCCATTAAAATTATGGACAGTCCCATGGCACCCTTTAAAATATGGACAGTCTTTTGAGGCACCCCATTCTACAATGGGGTGCCTCAAAACTCTCCATAATTTTAAAAGGGCACTCCATTCTAAAATGTGAAAAAACAGTTCTAATAGTTTTATATAACGCAGTAACATCCACACATGTAGGACACCCAAAATTAGAGGTGTTTTTTTCTCCCAAAGCAAATACACTTTTGCACACTGGTACTGACTAGTATTCCAGTGTTTCTCTTTTCCCTCAGTTTTGCACCATCACTGAGCTAATGTGGCCCCAGCACATGGAGAGTGGCAAGGGAGGGTTAAACTAGGATGCTGTGCAGGCGGCTGACATCCTCCTTAGCAACCGATGATGTCATTGGTTGTCAGGATGCCGGCAGCTAGAAGATCCTAATGGTGCACAAAGAAAACCTGTGGCTTTGTGTAACTAAAAGGCAGGCTTGTTCCACCTGCTGGCTTGTATACACGTTTTGGGCAATTTGTAGACATTTTGCCAAGGCACCCCTGAAGAAACCTCAAGGCACCCCAGGGTGCCTGGGCACCCTGGTGAAAAAGACGGATTTAGAGAACACAGAATCCTGGCTCACCACTTAACCATATTCCTCCCTTCTCAGCAATCTGGCAACCCCTTTTGCTGCTGTCGATCACATATTAACCAACCCAATGTACAAAATGTCAGTCCTAAGACCGTTTTAATAGCTACTGATTGCATTTAAAAAAAAATAGATGGGAATTTGCACATCACAGGCTTCATGGAAGTGGAAGTAAAGTCCACCTCCTCTCCAGCAATACGATGTCTGCAAGCTCCCTCACCAGCATTGCTGTCTTTTGCTGCATGCGTAGCTCAGTGTACATTCTAAAGAAGTTTGCGAACAGGAAGGTAAAAAGCTTTTATAGTAGGAGAGACATAGAAATAAGGGTGAGAAGAAGGGGTGAAAGTGAGGAGTGAGAGAAAAGGAGATCACATAGGGATCAGGAGAAAAAAGAAAGAGACATGGAAGGATAGGAACAAATTGGATGTAAAAGTATTACTAAACCCACAACAGTAAAATCAGTCTGTATATGCAGTAAAGCATCCTTATTATAATCACTGTGGAACCTAGGGGGTTAATTCTCCGCGTTGTGTAAAAAGGCTGTTTGATCCTGATCTGCCTCTTCTTCCATAGTCCACTAAATATCTCCTGATAGAACATAGGTTTGGTGTGACTCTGCACATGCTCAGTTTGGTGTGTATTACATAGTTAGTCTGCCTGAAAAAAAGACAAAAGTCCATCCAGTTCAACCATTAAAAAAAAAAAGTTATAATCCTACACCCACAGTTGACCCAGAGGCAGGCAAAAAAACACCCCAGCAAAGCATGATCCAATTTGCTCCTGTTGGGAAATAAATTCCTTCCTGATCCCCCGAGAGGCAATCGGATATTCCCTGGATCAACTTTACCTGTAAATGTTAGTATCCAGTTATTATCTAAGAAAGAATCCAGGCCTTTTTTGAAGCAATCCACTGAGCTGGCCAGAACCAACTCTTGAGGGAGTCTATTCCACATTTTCACAGCTCTCACTGTGAAGAAACCTTTCTGTGTTTGGAGAATAAATCTCCTATCCTCCAGACGTAAAGAGTGCCCCCCCTTGTCCTCTGTGATGACCTCAGGGTGAATAACTCTACACCGAGTTCACTATATGAACCACTGATGTATTTATACATGTTGATCATATCCCCCCTTAATCTCCTCTTCTCAAGAGAGAATAAATTCAGTTCCTCTAATTTTTCCTTATAGCTGAGCTCCTCCATGCCTCTTATCAGTTTGGTTGCCCTTCTCTGTACTTTCTCCAGTTCCCCAATGTATTGCTAGAGAGGTGTTTTTTTTTTTTTTTCTTGGGATAGTGCAGGTGATCAGTACAGGGCCAATCAGCACTGTCTAGACAGAGGTCAGGGGTTTTGCATCCTCCTAGAGGAGAATGAAAACTCTTTCTACAAGCTTTAAACCAGTGCTCTGCTGGTCATTGGTAGAAGTCACAAGACTGCTCTAACTGCTGATGAGAAAAAAGGTATTTAGCAGTTTATATTTACTAAAATAATTGCATTTCCATGTTGTGTGTACTGTGGGAGACCAGATATAGTGAATGCAGGGTCCTGGGTTTAATAACACTTTAAGCGCAAAAAGACTCTTCGGATTGATTTACTAAAGGAAAATAGGCTGTTCACTTTGCAAGGAGTACTTTTCCCCAGAGCTTTGTGAATGAGGGTAAATTTCACGTTGCAAAGAATACCCAATCACATACAAGCAAAATAAGTTAGTATCCCTTCTTGAACATGACTGGATGATGGAAGTCAGCAGAGCTTCACTTAATTCATTAGGCTATGGGGAAAATCCCCTTGCAAAGTGAACAGTCCATGTGCTTTTAGTAAATCAAACTCATTGTCTCAAGGTTGTTTTGGTTTTAAAGTGTTGCTAAAGCCAGGACCCTGCATCCACTATATCTGGTCTCCCACAGTACACAGAACATGGAAATGAAATTATTTTAGTAAATATAAACTGCTAAACAGCCTTTCTCATCAGCAGTATATAGCAGTCTTGTGACTTCAGCTGAGCACTGGTTAAAGCTTGTAGAAGGAGTTTTCTTTTCTGCTCTAGGAGGATGCAAAACCCCTGACCTCTGTCTGGACTGGCCCTGTGCTGATCACATGCACCCTCCCGAGAAAAAAAAACCTCTCTAGCAATAGACACTAAACTGAGCATGTGCAGAAGGGCTATTGGTTCAGTCTGTCTTATCAGGAGATAAAACGTGGACATTTGAACAAAAGGAGGGGTAGAGAAGTCAAACAGCCTTTTTACACAATGCAGAGGATTAACCCCTAATGTTCCACAGTGAGTATACCAAGCATGCTTTAGTGCATATACAGACTGATTTTACTGTTGTGGGTTTAGTAACACTTTAAAGTCACAGTATCCAAGTGCTTCAGTCAATCTGCTGTGAGCTATTGCACAGTCTATGATGTCCCGTAATTTTTGAAACTAGAATTGCTTTTTAATATCTAATTTATTAACCAAGATACTTTGACTTTACCCCTGAAAGATGTGTAGTTTTCAAGTAACAGATTTTTGCTGATGTTTTGTTGTAGCATATTCTGGTTAAGTAGTCAGTAATATTACGGTCCATATTTTTAGCCTAATTATTTCTTAATTATAGCAGATTACTTTTGTTGTGCCAGTAGACAGCAAACATTGTCCCAGGTGTGCTGAAACATCAATAACCTTCAAAGTTACTGATCTAGCATCTAGCTTATTAGTGTTTTGTTTTCTTCTGAAAGCCTTTTTATCTTTTCTGTTTTTACTGTGCACTTTTAATGCTTTAAGACTACAATGACATGAAAAGAGTGTGCCTGCAGTGAAGCTGTAAATTATCATATTAATATTTAGATTATGGTTGAGACAATATGGTTTGAATCTGTACAGTTCATGATTTGGGTCACTTTTTATCCTGGCAATATGCATGTCTTTACAAATCAGATGCTTCAGTTATATAGGTAAAAACAGAAATCATAATCAAAATCTGCCATATGTCCGAAGTTCTGCTGAATGTGATTTATCACTGGGCTGCTGCGAACCTATACTGAGTTTTAATGGAAACCTGTGGTGAGAGAAATAGGAAAACTGTCATTGCTGATGACATGCTAAAAAATGTCCATTACCTGGATGTCATACTGATCCTGTACCTTTAATTCTTTTAAATGTTGACCCAGAACAAACATAAAAGACAGGAAGGTCAGGATAAAGTTTAAATTCTGATCTACTTAATTCTGGTCAGTGCTGCAAAGTACCCCCCCCCCCCTTCCCCAGTTTCTGCTTTAATTACTTCTGTGGATGCTGAGCTATCAGTGCCCATGCAGCCAGTCTAGTGGATTTGAAATCTCCGCTCTTCTCCCTCTTCACTCTGCAGCATTTTTGGGACAGATCAAAGTGATGCTCTGCAATGGTGCTGACCAATCAGAATCACTCTGGTCTGTCCCAAAGGCACTGTGCAGGGAAGAGTGGGGATTTCAATTCCCCAGACCACTGGACCGGCTGTGTGGGCACTGACAGCTCAGCGTCCCCAGAGATAAGTACAGTACATAAGTACACGTAACAATGTAGCAATACTTTGTTTTTACAATTTCATTCATGTGTAGGTAAAAAGTGTGACCTTTGCACTGCATGTTTAGTAAAAAATGAATAGAGAATGCACACTCTATTCAAAATAAGCAGATAATAGTAATAAATGGGCTCTGAAGTATTTGATCATTTTAATGTTTTTAATCTGCATATGACATTACAAAATAAACAAAATTCACTCCTATTTAACTCATTATTAACTCTTATCAGCCCTAATTAATTTTAAAGAATGAAATTTAAACATTTTAATTACAGTATAATATCCTTTAAAACAAAATTAAGAAAATAAAATTATTTTTGCAAGAAAATAGCAACAAAATAAAATGCCCTGTGTCCCCTAGGACAGCAAGGGGGATAAGGGTAGCAAAAACTCTGGGATGGAAGGGGATGTGGTAAAGGCACTAAAATGTCATGGCCAGGGGTCAGGCTCAGAGACCAGTATCTATAGTAGTAGAGATCTTTCCACTGATCGGCTGGATAAGTACACAAGCAGTTCACCCTTGTGGATGATGCAGGCTCAGCCAAGGCATGGGGTCTAAACACTAACTGGTGTTCACCAGAGCTCTTGATGGTTGAGATAGGTTTTGCTGCATGTTAGTATCAGGTCTCAGTCCTCAGGATTGCCCCACCAGGAAATGAGCAAGCTGGGGTGCAATAGCAGATGTAGCAGGTCGAGATCAAGCAGAAGCATAGTCAAGAAACAAGCCAAAGGCTGGTAACAAGTGGTTGCAGGTTGGGATCAAGCAGAAGCATAGTCAAGGAACAAGCCTAAGGTGTGTAACGTATGGTAGTGAAGATAAGGACAGCTGTGGGTACGCAGAGGTTCAAGATTTTGCCTGGAGAGAGCACAGTAATCTGGAAAACAGAAATTGCAAAGACATGGCTTAAAATAGGAAGTTCATGGGAGGAGCAAAAAATTTAAAAATGAGACAAGGCAAAATTGTCCTAAGGGATCATACAGGGAGCTGAGCAGCATCTCAGATGGCACATGAAGAAGAGCTACAGCCAGACACTGCAGATATTGCAGGATTGGATCCAGACTCATACAGGAAAAATGGGAGGCAAGGGCTCTTTGAAGGAAGGAGAAAATGGCGGACAAAGGCTCTGAAAAATAAGGGTAAAAGAGGTTGAAGAGGCTCTGGGTTGGAAGGGGTACAAAAGGGAGTCTGAGGCTTTTGGGTGGAAAGGAGAATAGAGGAAGATAGAGGCTCTAGGGCAGAAGGGGGGGGAGGGGAGCAGGGGTTTCTGTGAAAGTAGGAGAAAAAGAGGAGGCAGCGGCTCTAATAAAAAAAGGGGGAGGCAGAGACTCTGGGAAGGAAGAAGAAACAGGAAAGCCCTGGGGTTTTGAATGGAATGTAAAAAAGTAAAGACAGAGGCCCTGTGACAAAAGGGGAAAAGCAGAAGCAGAGATTTTGGGGTGGACGGCAAAAAAGGGAAGGCTGAGGGTCTGAAGACAGAAGAAGGAAAGGGGAGGCAGATTCTCTGGGGCACACGGTGGTCAATATATTATCGTACACAACCACGTGTAGTGGTTTCTGTATGATCATAGATGTGATAAATGTAAAAAAATAATAACAGTAAAAGAATTAGTAATTTCTTACGCCTGTTTTTTTCTTGTTTTGGGATGAAAAGATGGAAGAGAAGAACAGACAGCTGCAGGAGCGCTTGGAGTTGGCTGAACAAAAACTACAGCAAACAATGAGGAAAGCTGAGACTCTGCCTGAGGTGGAAGCGGAGCTGGCACAAAGGATAGCAGCCCTTACAAAGGTAATGAACAGGTGAAAAGTTTCTATATAAGGATGCACCTTAAGGATGCATCATTCTACCATGCCATAGCATAGCTTCAAATCATATATGTGTTTTAGTTAAGAGGGGTTTAACTTAATTAACCTAAAAAAAAAATTATATTAAGATGTTTTTTGATTGTGATTTGTTACATTGAGCTTTGTTAGACATCTTGCTTGATTTTATGCTTACTTTTCACATCAGATGTTTTCATCATTTTGTTAATTTAGTATTTTTTTTATTTATGCATGTGTGCCTTTAAGAATTATAAATATTCAGCTAGCATTGCTCAATTTCCTACATAATCGTATAGCAGTAAGGTACCCCCTTTTCACATTAAAATGCTTGATCAATAGTTTTAATAAAAAGTAAGATGTCTTGGATTGTTGACGTAACTATTGATCTCTCGCCTAGGCAACCATAAAATGAAAACGAGATACCATCCTGCTACAAATAACTGTTCATCTAGTTTGACAGCTGATTACATTCAGTGCTGAATTTTATTTCTTTTTTAAGTTAACCTGTTTTTATTTACTGGCAGTTTAAAGTTTAGTATTGTCCTTATCAAGAGCAAATAAAATGTAATGACATGAAGCTTTTTATTTTGAGATTTATAAGTATACTAAACACAGGGCAATATGTTGTGCAAACAATATTGTGCTTTAGAAATTTTCAAGAATGAAAAATCAGAAATCAATATTTGTATTATATCATACATGGAAAACAAATCAGAATGTTTGGTATAAACAAGAGGCCTGAGTATGTTTAAAATGGAACCAAAGCATATATTGGACTTTTTAGTACTTTAACTAAATGCTGTTACTTTTGGCAATATAATTATCAACAATAGGTAAGTATCATCCAACTGAATTTCTGAGAAGAGTAATTTGTAGATATGGTATATAACAAGTAGGAAAAAAAGTTGACACGGAGAGTTTTATTTCTAATGCCCAAATATTTAAAAAAAGAAAAACAAGAAAAAATAGCAAGTCAGAAATAGCTTGCAATGTAGTTTTGACTTCATGGGGTCTACGTATAAAACATTCTCTTTGCGGGTGTCTTAACCATTCCCACAGACACTATAAATGTTTGCCATATTGTTTTTTTCTTGAGGTGAACCCAAAGAGAAAATCTCCTACAATACATAGAGGAAAAAAAAAAGCAAATAACCATGTGCCTCTAGTAACCACATATGATTCAGCACTAGAAGGGATATGAAAGATAATCAAAGATTTGCAATCCATCGTAATAGATGTGAAAATGCTGAAAGAAATATTCCAACAACCTGGCCTCAGCCAATACTGGCTTCCAGGCATCCATCCAACCTCAGTCATAAATTAATCAGCAGGAAACGTCATTTTGATTACAGAGTCACAAATAAAGGAACTAGGCCCTGCAATAAAAAATGCTGCAAACTGTACAGCCAAATCAATTCATCCAAAAGTGTCACGCATGCAAAAAAGGACCTTCAATATTACAGGACCATACAGCTATACCTCCAGTTGTGTACCTCATCCAATGCAAAAAATGCAACTAAGAACTTATGTTGGCAAAACAGGACCAAAATAATATCTAATTTTTACAGACACACAATTAAGAACATAAGATGATTTCTACAAACCTGTGGGGCATCATTTTTCACAACCAGACCACACTATGGGAGACATGAATGGATAAGTTCACCTTTTTTAACATATTACATGTTGCACCCATATTCAGGGTGTAATATGCAACATGTTACGAAACGACCGGCCCCCCACTCCTCCCCACTCCCCATTGAGACAGCTAGGGGGGATCTTCTCCTCCCCGCTAGCTGTCACAATTTTTTTTTAAAAATGTGGTCATGCGGGGCTCCCCCTGCCAAGCTGCATCATTCATTTACGGTGTTCTGTGAATGAATGAACTACAAGTCTAGACATCCTTTGTGGATGTTGGCTTGTAGTTCTCAATGAACTACCATGGTTCTGTGGAGCACTGTGGCAGTTCATTTATTCTTCCTGTCAGTATATCTGCTTGCCCACGGGCAAGCAGATATACTGAAAGGTCTGTAGGAGACCTGCATGGCACCAACCAAATGCTGATCACTGGTGCAATGCTTTAGAGGCTCCAGAAACCAAAAATAATCATTTTTACCTGCAAAGAAATGTGCATTTATTATGTTTAGTAAAAAGCTGAACGTATCCTTTAAAGCAAAAATCAAAAATACTCATAAAAGAAAAATGTTTGAACTAAGAATGATAATTCTATTCGACACAAATGCTAATAGACTAAATGTGGACCTAAGTTCACACAGCGAATGTTTTATACATAGACCTTTAGAGCTGTATAATGTGAGAACTATATTACTATATTCTCATTTTAATATGTTTATTGAGGAAATCTACTACAAGACATACAGTTGTGGCCAAAATTATTCAACCCCCAATGCTGTGGGTTTAGGGACTATTGTACATTTGGAATTGTATTCAGAATCAAATCCTACAAGGACATTGTAACTACCCAAATGCAACTAAAATGTAAGTAGTAAATGGTTCTTATGTGGTTTCTTCATTGCCACAATTATTCAACCCCTTAAAGACTACCACTCTGAAGAACAGAGGTTCATACAGGTGCTTTCCATCAGGTATTGAAAACACCTGTGGATGTCACCGAGCAGCAATCAAGCATAATAAGCACCAATTAGGCAGCTTTAAAATGACTGTGATACTCAGCTCCTTCTAGACATTTACTGGTGTGGTTACAAACATGGTGAAGGCAAGAGAATGTCCAGGAAGACAAGAGAAGAGGTGATTTCTCTTCACAGGAAGGGCAATGGCTATAAGAAGATTGCAAAGATGTTAAACATACCAAGAACACCTTAGGAAGCATCATTCGCAAATTCAAGGCAAAGGGCACTGTTGAAACGCTACCTGGTCGTGGCAGAAAGAAGATGCTGACTTCGACTGCTGTGCGCTACCTGAAGCGTAGAGTGGAGAGAAGTCCCCGGTGACTGCTGAGGAACTGAGAAAAGATTTGTCAGATGTGGGTACAGAAGTTTCAGCCCAGACAATAAGACGCACACTGCGTAATGAAGGCCTCCGTGCCAGAACTCCCAGGCGTACCCCCTTGCTGTCTCCAAAGAATAAGAAGAGTCGACTGCAGTATGCCAAAAGCCATGTGGACAAACCACAAAAGTTGTGGGATAGTGTTCTGTGGACTGATGAAACAAAATTAGAACTGTTTGGGCCCATGGATCAACGCTATGTTTGGAGGAGGAAGAACAAGGCCTATGATGAAAAGAACACCTTGCCTACTGTGAAGCATGGTGGAGGGTCAATCATGCTTTGGGGCTGTTTTGCTTCTGCAGGTACAGGGAAGCTTCAGCGTGTGCAAGGTACCATGAATTCTCTTCAGTACCAGGAGATATTGGAGGAAACGTGATGCAGTCCGTCACACACCTGAGGCTTGGGAGACGTTGGACCTTTATGATCCCAAGCATACCTCCAAGTCCACTAGAGCATGGTTGCAGAGGAAAGGCTGGAACATTTTGGAGCCATCGCAGTCACCAGACTTAAATCCGATTGAGAACCTCTGGTGGGACTTAAAGAAAGCAGTTGCAGTGCGCAAGCCTAAGAATGTGACTGAACTGGAGGCCTTTGCCCATGAAGAATGGGCGAAGATACCCGTAGATCGCTGCAAGACACTTGTGTCAAGCTATGCTTCACGTTTTAAAAGCTGTTATAACTGTAAAAGGATGCTGTACTAAGTACTAAGATTGAATGTCACTTGGGGGTTGAATAAAACTGATAATGCTGTGAGCACAGAAAAGACATTTGTGGTTATTTCATTATAACTGTTATGTTATATTTGTCTGACCTACAAGTGCCTCTTTAATGTAAATGTAAGCAAGATGACTGAATGATCAAAAGCAATGTCAAACTGGCCAAAACAGTTGAATAATTTTGGCCACAACTGTAACACATTTCATGGTCCAGTGCGTAACTTGTATGACATCATCACAGCATTGAGACGCAGGTAAAGAAAAACAAACACTTTAGGAAGGTTGGGCGCCAATGATTTTGTATATGATAGCAATAGAGGGTCTTCAAATAACTTAATGTACCATAGGAACTACACCCTAATATGTAGATAGGAGGGCAGCAAAGTTTAGAATATTATAACTTCCCAATTTAGCAAAGCTCTGGAAAGAGCAAAACATAATTATGGGAAATACCCAGAGACAGAGCAATAAGAAGTAAGGGAGAGAGAAAGAAAAAGTAAAGGAGAAGCAAGAAGGTAAAAGCAAAGAGGGCAGTATAGGAGACCTAGTAAACTCATAGGAAGATGCAGGGAGCTCTGAGAGTGGACATAACTGGATATGCATAAATTTAGCCTATGGGCCCCACGTCTCTTCAAACGTTTGTACCCTATAATTGATTTTACTAGCTATTTGTTCATGGATCATAATCCAGGAAATCTTATCATTTAGCCTCCAGAAGGAGACCAAGGATTCCCTTCATGCTCTTGCTATGGTAATCTTAGCAGCAAAAAAAAAAAATAAAAAAGTAAGTGTTGAGAGACGGAGGGTATCTAGGGCATGGGATCATTGAGCAAAGCAACATGAGGTTGCTATGGGACTGAAAGACCCATAACCCTAAGGAGCAAGGAGAAAATCCCATTCCAGAGAGTACACAGTCTGGGACACTCCCACCATAAATGAAACATAGTGCCTCCCACAGAACATCCTTGTAAACAAAGTGGGGAAGCATTAGCATACATCTTGGCCAGGCAAGAAGGGACCAGATGCCGTCGAGTTAGAACCTTGATTTTAGTCTCAATCATTGAAGCATTCAAAACTTCTTGAAAAGAGGAGCAAAACGAGTGCACCAAGATTCCAACTGCATATCTGTGGAGAGGTCCCTGTCCCACTGCAGCATGTATGATAGCTTTTGAGAGCAGGTGAGTAGGAGTCTATAGATCATAGAAATACTCCCTTTTAGACC